CTTGGATTCGGGTCCTCCCACAGATGATGTCAAAGATGACACTCATCGGGCTTGGTTACACGATGATGCAAAACTGCTCGTTGAAATTCGAAACTCCATTGAGCCAGATCATTGTGAATTTGTCAATTCTTTGATGGATTGCCTAAACTTCTTATACTCTCTGGACGTACCAATATCTCTTGTATTTATACAATGAGGTGCTCGTTGTAGTGGGAGGGTTGCAAGGCGACCCCATAGATTTGTGTTAATGAGAGTGTCGTTGGACTCAGTCTCTAGTAAACACGAGACTATGAATTCATGATTTTTAGAAGTCTTCGGACTTAGTCTCTAGAAACTTGAATTGATCTCAGCTTGCTTCAAGACAAAGATGCAGAATCTTAGCGAATATCATTGATTTATGATTTAGGGTCGCGGACTATAATCAGATCTGGGATCTTGTAGAACCACCAAGTGCGTAAAAGTCATTGAGCGAAATCTAAAAGCAAAATCGTGTAGACTTTAGATCAAGGTTTGTTGTGAAATAGTAGACTAAAAAAGAATGTGATCTATTATGAGTTACCAGTAGCCTTGCTTGAGTCAATACGAATTTTAAGTTGTTGTCGCTCATATGAGTTATAAGATTCGGCGAGGTGGATGCCAAGACATTTTCCTTAACTGGAAGTCTTGTGGAAATCCATGGAGCAGCACCCAGAACTGTTCATTGTAAAGGGCTGAGAGCATTCAATCATTCACAAAATAAGCACAGTGCGTATAAGCGTGGTAGCGATTTTTGTTTAGGTACTGTGCGTAGACGGCATTCTGATCACTGGAGAGATAGTGTGAAGATGTTACCAAGCGCAGATGTATGGTTATCCAAGCAGTTAGATGTGAAGCATTCGAAAAAATTGACACATGTTCTTGTGGTCAAGGATCAAAAGAAAGAAATATTGCGATTATCCTAAGCCTCGTGTCCATATACTATCATAAGGCTCATTCTTAGCATCCATGACACAAAGGAGTTCCTTATGTCTCGCAATATGAAGCCTAGTGTATGCAATGCAGAAAATGAGGTCTGATATCTATTATTGACGCGGGCATAATTAGTAGATATCGAAGTAATCCTAAAAGAGCACATTGGTTTGTGGTAAAAACCAATAGTCAAGTGTTGTAAAAGGACTAAGGATAATATGTTGGTTTACCAGAAAAACCATATGGAGCCTATAAATTATAAAGGATTCTAATTTCTAGTCAGACGTGAACAACAAGTAAAATCTACTGCGGGATTTACGTATACGTGAGGTGGAGCCAATAGTTTTGGAAGAATGTCAAGCGGTAAAACGATGACGGATTTCAAGGAAACTCAGTACGTCGCATGCTCAAGAGGAAGAGGTTTGACCCGACAACCTCTTTCGGACTAGGAATGTGAATTCCTAGTTTGCCTATGACACTTGCAAGTTCATAAGTCAACTAAGCGCATAGAGCAAGTACGACCCATTGCAATCGCAAAGGGGTGGATGTTTGTCGCCTAGTTACGTCAGTAGACGACCAAGTAGTTCATTTTAGAAGTGGCTTTCTGGCGAAAGTAGATAATGGCCATGTTGTGGGATTCGGAGTCGGATCTATGGCTGTTGTCCCGCAGTTAGGACAACAGTTCTTTGACAATAAAGATTGAAAGAGTGTATACTTAGAAAGACCGAAAGCATTAAAGTATAAGTGGTAGATTGTTGGAGTATACTGTAGAAGTTCGACTTTGTGTTACTCTCAATTCCATTTTCAATTAGATGTGTTTTTTAATCACTTGTATGTGTAACGCCCCGAATCTTTTTATTATATGTAGCTCGACTTTAGTTCCATAAATAGAGAGTTTAATTTATTTCTAGTTCTATTTATTTTTCTAGCATTCTAATTTGATTAATTAATTCTAGCCCAGGTATCGGTTCACTTTTCTAGGAAAAATGGCCGTGAACTTGATATTTTTATACCTAATACCTAAACAAGCAGTAGAAAAATCGGGAACTTTATTTAATATGGGCCGAAGCCCGGTCGAGCCGAGACCTCGGCTCAAGTAGCTTGACCAAATCCCAAGTAACACGCGCCCGAGGCCCGAGGCCCGCGCGCCAAAGCCAATGGCCGGCCCAAATGTCGAGCCTTTAATTTCGAGCCCAACATTTTCTAAGCCCAAGAAGCCGATAAGAATTTTCGGGCCCATTTTCAAGTCCAACCGAGCCCAATTTAAAGACCGGCCCATTTTTCGAGCTTATTTCCGAAGCCCAAAATTTTAGTACATGAAGCTCAATCCAAAATTTAATTTATTGGCCCAAGTCTTATACATTAGGGCTTGACTAAGTCTTCAAAATTCAAATTCAAAACCAAACATTTAATGTCTACCTAACAAGTTTGTAATTAAGGGACAAAGTTAGATAAATTCAAAAATGTCCAAAAATGCCCAACTACCATTCCCCTAACCCTAATTTCATGTATGCAAATATATATGGAGTCTTCTTCACTTAGCCTCATTTTCCTCTTCCTCATTTCATCTTCTCCCAACATTCAAAAAATAATTCTAAGTAAAAAAAAAAAAAAAAAAAATGTCCTAAGCTCAAAAATTCCTTAGCCATAGCTATATAAATACGGCCCCTTTCAAAACCGAGCCAAGCTCACCCAAGCCATTGTTGAGCCCTAGCCGCGCTCAGGTCCAACTCCCCGCGTCCCGGCCCAGGCCAGCAGCCCTGCGCGCGCCCTCCGGTTCCCAGCAGCTCGACCTGCGCCCAGGCCCCAGCTCCTAGGCGCCAGCGCCCGCAGCTCCCAGGCGCCAGCAGGCCGCAGCACACACGACCCGCAACAACTCCCAGTGACCGCATGCGCCCAGCCAGCGCCTCCCAGTCCCAACGCCAGCGCCTCAGACTCCCAGCGCGCCTCCAACGCCCAGCAGCACTAGTGCCCCTAGCTGAGCCACATTCATCTTCCTTTTTAGTTGTTTTTGAGTCCTTCAAGAGGTAGATCTATAAATCCTCTCTCCTATGACTTAGATATGAATTACAAAGTATTGTAACAATATGAAATCAAGGAAAATGGAGCTAGAATGAAAGATCTAGATTTATTGCCTTTATTATGCTAAAATCCGTATCTTGAGTTATGCATGTCCAAAAATCGTGACTTAAATTGCATAAATTCTAGAATATTGTGTAGATGTTGTGGTTTAAATTTGAAAATTTTTGGATCTCATTTGCTATGTGAACAAAAATTGTAGGCCAAGATCTAAAATGGACATTTTGTTTGAACAAGTTATAGATCTAATATTGTTGCGGTATTTTACCAAAAAATCTTAAATATGTTGCTGAGGTTGTGTATCAAATTTGAGGATTTTTTAAGATCGTTAGATATGGTTCAAAAAGCCTTGAATTGGTGAATTTTTAGAGGCCTTATGAGATGTGTTTTCGCTGAGGTTGATTGATCTAAAATCTTCATAAATGATGTTGAGTTTATGGTTAAAATTTCAGCTTAAGATGAGTTAGGGTGACCGGAGGACTAGAACCCTAGATGGGGTCATTTTTAGGTGTCGAGTGATTGTAAAATCCGAGAATATTTTCCTGAGTCATCATAACCTATAGGAACTCTAGATGTCATAAAGAGCCTAACCCCGGGTTGCCGGAAAAACCGTCGCTGAGTGCATGCTCCTGCGAGTCCAATCGAGTCGCGCCCCTACGCTTGCCCCGCCCCCGTGCGGTGCCCCGCCATCCGCGGTCTAGCCGAACAGTCCGACAAGATCGGGCGGTTCGAGGTAGACATGGCCCACAGTTAGGCCCACACTAGGGAGCCCATCTTTAGCACCTCTTTAAGGTCCTGCTAAAGCCTATATATACACCAAAGTTTCGTAGCCTCCATCACAATGATATAGAAAAACAAAATAACGTGAGAATTAAGAGTTTTGAAAAAATTCAAATAAAACTTAGAGGTCTTAAGAGAGGAAAAGTGGGAGGCTGTGGGAGATCCGATGAGTCGTCCACCACGACGAATTGGAGTAGGTGATCGGTCATGCAACAGAAGATCCTGAGGTCTTGCTTTCGCATCCCGTCGAATATATATGTCTCTGCGGCACCTCAGATGACCATTAAACTTGGAGAGCACGACCACCGGAAGAAGATGCATCCACCGACGTGCCCAGCACCACGAGCAGCAGCCTCACGCATCGTGGCCAGCTGATGAATACCGTGTATTTGCTCAACTCGATTTGCGTCGAAAGTTGCTTGCCACGGCTTCCTTCTCGGCGATAGGTGTGGACGACTCGGATTGCTCCTTATCTTCTCACGGTTTGAGATAGCTCGGATGTTAATCCTTGCTAAACTCGGGTTATATGACAAAACTCTCACGTATTGTAGTCCACGATATTGGTGAATAAACGTTCGATTTTTATTTAACTTCTTCATTAATAAATTCGAATAGTAATGACAAGTATTTATAGAGGTTAACTAAGTCTAATCTTATTGTAACTAGTACTCTAAACTCATGGAAATAAAATAAACTCCTAAGACAATTAAATATCTAGAATCAAAAGACTTACCAAAATAACTAAATAGGCACATGTCTTTATTCGAATTTTCTAACCTAAACCGAAGTCCTAATTTGCTAAGGCAATCGACTTGCTTGCGTCGCACTCCCTTCCGGAAGCTTTGCCCTAGGCGGCGCGCTAATCCTCGTCGACCGCTGTCTCGCCCATATCTGCGCCCATCACTCCCCACGCGTCGCCCGTCGCACCCGGCGCATGCTCGCCCCCTCGTGTATCGCCCTGCCCGTGGTTGAACGGCCCGTGGTTGAACGGCACGCTGGCCTCTACTCGTGTACTCACTCGCGGATTGCACCTCCCCCCTTGCTAATCTTTGCGCGTCCCTTTCAACCGACAGCCGTTCTTTGTGAACTACCCGATCCTCTCGCCGTGTACTCGACGTTCACCCACCGCGCCCACTCGCGCGAACATCTCTCCGCGTGACTCTGCTTCACACGTCCCTACTTCGCGTGCCTTGTCACCCGGTTAACGCGTATCGTCGGCCCACGTATCGCGCGCGGCCTTTCTCGCTGGCTTGAACCCTTTTCTTATGACCCCAAAAGTCGTCTCGTTCGTTCAAGCGCCCACCTCCTTGGCCTTCATGGACCGCGTCCTTGGGCTCGGAAGGTCCGATGACCACATCCTCATCATTCCCGCCCTCTTCGAGAATTTTCTTGTCGAAGGATAATGAACTCGAGGTTTTCTTGTTCGTTGTGCTCGACCCTCTCAGTGGTTTGTAATTTGACCCGCTTCTTAGCCCTCTCAAATCCGCATGCATGAGGACCACCCGCTTCTTAGAATATACAGGCACTACTGACACTGATAACTTCATGATTCCAGAAAAAAATGTCATCCCCTGGCTTTAGGGTATATGCCTTAGATTTTTTGGGTATATGGCTGATCAAATACTTGTTTACAATAGGTTCTATAAAAAGATATTTGTTTTGTGTTAATATTGGTTTTGTGTTGCTGATAAAAGGGTAGCTTAGTCGAATGGCTGATGTATTTTGGTTGATGTGTTTTTGTTTAAACAATGTAAGTGTTCTTGCTGATGATGCTTGATGTGGCAATTGATGTTATTGTTGATTATGAGTTATGTCTTTTTAATGCATTAGTCTGTGGTGCTGCTCTTGGTGTCTGTAGTGTTTTTCAATCTTTGCTTTCTTGTGGTGTTGGTGTCTTTGGCCTAAGTGGTCGTGTAGGGGAGTTCCACATGAATATCCTCCTCGTTTCGGGCCCTTGTCATGTACCTTGTAAGTCCAAGGTCGCATTTCCCAACCCGTTGGTTGGTCGCCTTGTAAATTTCAAATAGTTTTCGATGTTATGTTCATTTGATGTTTGGGGAAAAAAAAGTTTTAAACAATGGATGGTAATTATGGTTGGATATTATATTGTATATGATTCCGTATTGTGTGACATTATAAAGGATGTTGAAAGTGTTGTATATGTTATGCACCATGTGAAATTATTATTTTTATGATATCACATTTGTTTTCCTGCTCACACATATTATGCTCACATATTATGTTACTGTTGAATGAGATGTATAACTGGGATGAATTCATTTTAATATGCCATGAAAATTTTAAGGCAACAGGTACCATTAAATTATTTGCTACACATATATTTATAAAATATGGATACTTGTTAGAATATTTAATATATTAACGTCAGATTTGTTAGGATTTGTAATTGTTAGGTAATTAGATTAATAGTGTTAGTATATATATTCAGTTAGTTGGCGTTAGCAGGATAGGTTAGTTTCTTAGTTTAGTAATTGTTATTATATTTAGTTAATAGTTAGCTTTAGTGTTAGGATTAGTTGGCAGGTTAATTGTTAGTCGTGAGTTTAATTAGTTGGTTAGGTATCTTATATTTTGTTAAGTCTTGAAATGCAAGACATTTAGTTACCTTAGGACTAGATATATTTTTCGTAGATTATAATTATAGTCTCATAGGATTAGATCTAGTTTTTCCTATATAAATACCTATGTACTCATTCAAATTTTAATTAAGCGATGAATTAAAGAAAAATCGACCATTGGTCACCAACTTCTTGTGTCTAGAATTCTTAGAGTTTTATCACAAAATCCTTGTGTAGAAAAGGGCGTTCCACCGCATAGTTCGTCATAAGCTCGAGTTTGGCAAGGATTCACGTCCGAGCTGTCTCAAAATCGTGAAAAGATAAGGAGATATCCGAGTCGTCCACAACCTATCGCCGAGACGGAAGTCGTGGCAAAGCAACTTTCGAATTAAACCACGCAACCGAGACATGCGATCTTCATCAATAGCCCCCGGCGTCCCTGCGTCCCCGTGCGACCCGTCTAGGCAGCCTAGGCCTTTGATTATTCCTTAGATTATTTTCCTTTCTTACATCTCGTTTGGCTCATACATACATACATATATATACATACATACATACATACATACATACATACATACATACATACATAATCAATTTGAGCTTAACTTCATTACACTAAACAAAAGAATACGTAAAATCTTATTCTGGAATCAAGCACAGAAGCTATCTCCATTGGTGCAGGCATCGGAAAATTTTATTATTTGTTGTCATTCAGTGAAATAAAAATGAAAAAGAGAGGGGAAAAAAAAAAATGTTTCTTTTGCTGATATCTTGGTTGTTTCTCTAATGTCTACAGATACTAAGCCACTGAGGTTATGATGGTGCTGCCTCTGATATTTGATAATGTTAAATAGTAAGCTATAAGTATAACAAATCACTTCCAAGCAAAAGGAGATCAAAAAAATATTTTGTTTCAGCATTATGACATCCTTGATGCATACCTCTTGCAACTATGTGGCATCATTTGATATCAGATGGCTTTTATAAATTATATCATGTTTGTTGTGGGAAATCTACTCATCAAACATTCTATGTAAACCTCGCTGTGTTGCTAAATCATGCATGTAATAAACCAGTCAATACAAAAACTAAAAAGCGGAATTTTGAAAGTGCAGCTTATATATGCAAAACTGCTTGAAAAATAAACCCAATTGATTCCGTGACCTGTCAAAAGTTAGGAAATGTTCTGTACTTACAGTTTCAGGATTGGGGTCAAGAATTTTGTGTATCAATGATGTTGCTGCTGGAGAAAACCATAACGGACACATAAACTGTGCAGCATTAATCTGTACAACAAGAAAGAGATGAGAACTTGGCAATGTTATCTAATAATAACCTATAACAGAGTTCTGGACGAAGGTCGAACAATGTCAAATGAAATTTGTAAAACATCAGTTATTATAAATTTATGAAAAAACAGAGTTGGTTCCAAGATACAGACACGCTAGAAATGTGTGGAAGTACATTTCTAATAATAGGTGACCCATTTTACTAATCACTATATTCATGGTGGGTATCGTTTTTTGGTGTATCCAAAACCTTCCACAACTGTAGTTACAAGTTGCAAGTCCAGGAAAAAAAAAAAAAAAAAAAA